TCCTTCCTTCCTTCCATCCATCCATCCATCCATCCATCCATCACCAGTTCCTGCTACCTATCCCTAGCTTCTTCCTTCCTTCCCCCCCATCACCAGCTCCTCCCTTGCTTCCACCCATGACTAGCTCCTGCCTTCCTTCCTATTTTTAAATAATTGCTTGCGTTAAAGCCCACGATCCCATGCCATTATGGGCTGTTCCTGCTAGAAAAAGCAGCATGAAGTGGATGAAGATCAGAGTGGGGAGTGTGGGTGGGAATCCACCCTCTCAAAACTGCAATTTTATTGCTCTTGGTGGGCATCTTTTTCAGGAAACCCATTTCGTTCTGGCGGATCCAGCCTTTGGGAAAACAGTTCTTGTGAAACATCGCAAAGAGAGGGAGCGAAACCCATAACCGGGGTCAGAAAGGGCAAGGGTGACCTCTCTCCCCCCCCCCCAGCAATGCCTTCACAGGAAAGGACTGAATAGCCGGATTGTGACTCTTTCAATCGGTTGGAAAAAAGGGACCCTTTTAAAGAATTACAAAATAAAGTTTCCAACCGTTCGGGGTTCCCGGGGCGAGCTTTTCTCGCCAATGAAAAGAAAAGGCTCTTTTGCGGGAAAGTACTTGGCGATGTTTTCCCCTTTCCTCTGTCTGAAATGTCAAAGGGACAATCCTAGGGGAAGGATGACGGAATCATCCTCCCAGCTATCAAGAAGGGTGGATAATTCCGCCTGAGCCAGAGGGAGAGAAAAAGCTTGAGAGATAGATCCCCTTCCACTGGCTGGCTCTGGGCCTTTCTTTCTCCCACTGGTCAACTCTGCAGGGTTGTTTTGATGAGAAGAAGAAGAACCGTGTGTAAAATATATATATAATGCCTATTGAAAAGCAAAAAAGCAAAAAAATGATCCCAGTTTAGAAGAACTGAAGTTTGAAGCTGGCAGTTGAAACGCGTGAGAGTCTTGTTCTCCAGTCTCCGGGCCACCTTCTGTTGGCCCGGCCTACCTCACAAGGCTGTTGGGAAAATCGTAAAGGTTGTGGGACGGAGAAAAGAGATGCACGCACCCCGCCTTGAACTCAGGGTGGGAATGGTAGGATCGAAAAATCAATTTTCACAGAGGGTTAATCTGTTGCCACCAGGGGAGACAAAACAGAAAAGCGTGGGAGCACCTTGAAAGCAACAGAGTGATCCTGTAAATCTAGATTTTTTTTTTTTAAAAAAAAAGAAAAGCAGAAATACTGTATATAAAGCCTAGGTCTTGGAAGCACCCTGCGCAGGATTCGAACCATGGCCCGGTGGTGTCTGAATACCATTTCGTGGGCTGTCCCTTCTTTCTGGGGCAGCCTTGGAGGCAAAAATAAGATCCTAATGGGGAAATCCATGGGATCGGTTATAAAGAGAAGTCAAAGGACCCTGTGTTATCCTCCCCCCCCAAAAAAAAACAGCCTGTTTGGAGAAAAGCGGCAGGGACGACAAGTCCCATGCTCCCTCGCCGGCGTGGCTACTGGGCGCTATATTCCAAGGGGAAAATGAAAAATAAAAAAAAACTTTCTCCAAAGTTGTCATTCCCCCCCCAAAAAAAAAAACTGTTTTAGGTCCGCGGCTGGATCCGAAGCAGCCCGCGGGCGCAAGGAGGATCGCTCCGGCGCCCGGATCCCGACCCGGTCCCGGGGGTGGAGGAGGAGGAGTCGGCGGGTGGGTGGGAATCCTCCCCCGGCCTTTCTCCATTGGCCGGCCGGCCCTGCCCCGCGCCTCCGGTGCGCCTCTTCGGAAGGAGCGCTCGCTTCCTTGGGTCCGGAGTCAATCCGGAGCGGCGCTGGGGGGAAGAGGCGCCGGAGATGCGCTGCTCCTGGAGAGAGACGGGTAAGGGGAGCCCGGGAAGAAGAGGATGATTAAAAGGGGAGGGGAGTGAGTAGAAAAGGAGAGCCAAGGGAGGGTCTCGATCCCCTCCGGTGCAAATCCGGATTCGGAGGCGCGCCCGTTTCCTCTGCGAGGGGTTGCGGAAAACGGGAGGGAGCTAAAGCAAGGAAGGGAGCGGGCTTTTGGCCAGCCAGCAACGGGTCTTCTCGGTTGCAAGTCCCCTGGGGGGGGGTTACTCCCGAGGAAGAGCATTTGCAACCAAATCCTCACCCCCCAAAAAAAGTCGTTGCCTGATCCCGTTGCAAATATAATTCTTTGCAGCCGGGGATGGTGGGACTTGTAATCCTTTCTT